GCGTTAGCTTCGAGCGCTAACGATGTATCGGAAATGAAGAGCAGTGCGTCCCGGAGAGACAAACACCCAACAAAACCCACACACTGCGTCCCCACGAGGTGATTGCCGCTAAAACAGCGCCAAATCTCAGCAAAGCGCCGCGCAGAGACACCGCACAGCGCTTATCCGGAGCCCGACGAGCCCGGACAAGGCCTCGCTTCCTCCGGCAGCTCTCCTCCTGCCGCCGCCTCTCACTCACCCTGGTCGAAGTGATGTCCATCATGACCTCCTGGAAGGCGGCCGTCTCCTCGGCCTGCCGCTGGGTGTGCAGTGCTATCTTCTCGCTGAACTTTCGCGGGTTGGACGCCCCGGAGCCGGCGCCCGAGGCGGGCCCGGGTCCACAGCCGCCTGAGCCCGTCGCAGACATCTTCACCGAGCGGACGGGACGAGCTGACGTAGTGGAACGATTTCAGAGAGGGGCGGGGTGAAGAGGAATCACTCCCCCGCTTTTTCTGAGCACCAAAACCAGCAGCGAGTCTCGCAGCGGGACCAACCGAAACCCGGCCGAAAACACCCCGCCGGGGAACCGTGTTCACAGCCGCCGGAAGACCGGGACCGGGTTCACAGCCAGGAGCTGACGAGGCAGCAGCTCTGTTGTTGGTTTTTCTTTTAATTATTTTTTCAATCCTGAACAAACAAGAAAGCATGTTCAGTCTTTTTGTGTTTGTCTTGCTAAGAATTAAAGATATTTACAAAATCAAAATTAATGTATTAGATTTAAATAATCGAACCTATTTCTGTCGACTTAAACAATTCAAAGTTGTATTAAAAAAGTGTGTGTGGGGGGGGGGGTGAGGTCACGTGGACAGAGTTCAGCGTTTCTTCGTGGGGAGTGTAACCTCTGGCTCACAGACCAGCTAAGATGGCTCGGCTGAGGTGTGTTGGCGCCCCCTGCCGGCAGAGTTCAGCCGCTGCAGGCTGCTCCTCCATTTCCCTCCAGCTGCAGAGATTAGAGATCAAAGGTCAAGGTGGGGATCCTATTCTTCCTCACTGTGTGAGTATAAAGTTAATCCGAGTCTGTGGAAGACAGAGTGCAGAAGAAGAAACCTTCAGACCACCTGTAGTTCAGTCGCGTCTCCTCGTTTTTGAGTCTTCACTGTGATTTAGGGTCAAAGTTCTTGACCCTGACATCTCTTCATTTGGTCCATTACTTTTATTTTCTTTTTATCGTCAGCAGCGGGTGTCTTGTTTTATTTCTGATGTAACGATGAGGTCAGCTGATTACTTTGGCCTTTTCATTGTTTGCCAATAAAGTTTTGTTGTAAACACGCTCTGTGATTGCTGCTCTCACCTGTGCTCGTCCAGCACCTTCAGGCGCGTCCTGAGCTGTATCCCGAGTCAGGGTCTGCAGCCTTAAAGGCCGCATTTTAAGGCCGATTACGTCACAGCGGCGCGACGAAGGCTGTCCCAATTCAAAGGCTGATCCAAATGCAGCCCTCAAATGCGTCCTTCATTTTGAAGACATTTGGACATTTTCTCACCCAATAAAGGAATATTTCATATATCAGTCTACTCTTCATTCTATCAGACACGGTTATCACAGCTCGCACATTTGCTTTTTACACATATATGTAAGCATTGAGACAAATGTAATAATGCCAACATACTGAAGGAACAATATTTGTCTCTTATATGTAATACATCTGTATACACACTGTCAAAGGTACTTGAGTGTCTTTGAGTGAAGATTTAAGGTGATAGGACACATAAATAGCTGCAACTTGAATCTTTACGGAAGCTCAGTGTTTGACAGAGTTCACTCACATGCTGCACCAGTGTACCTGCACATGTGATGTGACAATAGAAGTGATTTGATTTGAGAGTTCAAACTCACTGCTGTAATAACTAATAATGATTAGTATAATAACTATAATATTGGCCATCTCATATTTACACTGACTTTAGTCTCATGAACAACATCAGCTAATTGTTATTTACTAGCTAATCTTAAATGACTGTTCAGCACAGAAATGAAGCCCAACAATCATGTTTACAGTCCCGTGGTCTCAGCCTCTGATACTTAAATCACACAAAGCTCGTGTAGAAACAAACAAACGAACAAAACATGTTCCTTCATTTCTGCCAAACACGCGTTTCCAGCTATTATGGTTAATTGGAGGTGAGCTTCCCTCCCTCCAAGGCATCTACAGGAAGCGGTGCCTGAGGAAAGCGGGAGGATCATCAAGGACTCCAGTCACCCCAGCCATAAACTGTTCAGACTGCTTCCATCAGGAAGGAGGTTCTGCAGCATCCGGTCCCGTACCAGCAGACTGAGAGACAGCTTCTTCCATCAGGCCATCAGACTGCTGAACACGTCATAGACACCTCAGCTTCACTACTGGAACTTCAACATTATGCACTCCATACTGTACAGTAACACCACTGTTTTGCACATGTCTCACTCTGTATATTTTTATATTTTTTATTTATTGTTTACTCTATTTAATTTGTAAAATATGTGTACACACACACACACACGTAGAAAAATATTTAGTATACACATCCAGAAATGCATACACTATTATATATTGTACATATATTTATTAGTTTCAGATGTAGCCATTCTTGTATTTTGCTTGTTTACATTCTTGTATTTTGCACAACTCTGTTGCTTGTGAAGCTCGCACACAAGAATTTCACTCACATGTGCTGTACCAATGTACCTGCACATGTGATGTGACAATAAAAGTGATCTGATTTGATTTGATTTGCTAGGCAACCCGGGCAGCGCGACGGAGGCTAGACCACCCATTTCACAAGCCTCGCACTTCCGGCCTCAGCGGTCTTTGAGTACGCGGCCCTTGAGGACCGTTGAGGCTGCAGACCCTGAACTGGGACACAGCCCTGAAATTCAGCTCCTGTCACGTTTGCGGTGATTGTTCAGCTGCGATCGCTCTGCTGCTGTCCTCTCAGGTGCACTGATGAGGTCACACAGGTGTCGCTGTGTTGCTGAACTGTTGTGGCTCATCAGTGAAACTGTGACATGAACGAGGTGATCTCTCACACACACACACTGTGTCGGGGCTGCGGTGGGAGAGCTGAAAGCTGCTTGCAGACCGACCGCAGGCGGCTCGGACTGAAGTGAAAGAGGAACGCTCAGCGGCGCTCCGACTGCTTCTTCACCTGAACAAGGACACGCCTCACATCCTGACATCAGCGAGGTTATCGCTGAAGAGCAGCTGCCAAGGAAATGGCCTGTAACCATGGCAACCACAGGTTACTAGGGAAAAATGGGGCGTCTGTCAGCGACCCAGAAACCTGCAGCGACAGCAGAGTTGACATTTCACCGTTCAGTCTGCAGGCCCGTGCCACGTGGTCGTCGTCATGGTGATTTATTTTTCGCCGCGATCCGAGGCCACATGGTACAAACTTGTTTCCAGGGCAGCTCTGATTTAGCTTTACAAACAGAAAACGCTTGTTTCCTGTTCCACGGGAACACAGACTGTATGTAAAAGATGGACTAGCACAGTCATGGCGCCATGTTGGTTTTCCGCCTGCAGTTTGCATAAAAACACTTTTTTGTTTCTCAGATAAAATGAGAATAAAACCGTTTTCCGTCGGCTCGCGCGCCCGACGTGTTTGGATACGATGGACGGTCGGCGGCTAAAGCAGAGGACAAAAATCCGTCACGACGCGTCATCGCTGCTCAGACTGTTGTCACGCGTACCGAGGCGGTCATGTGACTGTCGAGCTGTCAGACTTCGTCCTGGATCAGTGCTGCCGATCCACAGATCAGTAATCAGTTTATCTTTGCCGAGTAATCAGATTACAGGAGCTGAGAAAGCGTCACGCAGCAGAGGTTTGACCTCACGTCTCTGAAAATACTTGAGTCTTAATGTAATCGAGTACTTTTACTTCAGTACAGATGCGCTTTATGTTTCTGCGTTTCTGCTTCCTGTCGTTTCGGCTCAGTGCTGCGTCCGTCTGACCCGTGGCTGTGCGGCTGCAGGACGCCGTCTCATGTAATAAACATTCAAACACGCGTGTTTATTTTCTGCATGATTTTATACAAACTTGATTACAGTAAATTTACATGTTTAAAAATACTTTTATTACAAAAAACAAGTGTTTGAATCCTGCTGTCAGTTAAAATAGAGCTCTCCACGAAAACATGCTCTCCTCCGGCTCCGACGCCTCCAAACATTCCAGTCAGATTTCTGAAGGTTTTCCTCGTTTAGCAACGCGTTCGTTCTAAAAGCTGAAATCTCGCGCAGCTCTGGGACGCAGCTCTGGGACGCAGCTCTGGGACGCAGCTCTGGGACGCAGCTCTGGGACGCAGCTCTGGGACGCTCCTCTGGGACGCTCCTCTGGGACGCTCCTCTGGGACGCTCCTCTGAGGCGAGCACATTGGAGGTTTGTGGTTGGTCGATCACTTCAGGCCTTCCTTGCGACTTTGTTCACGAGGAGGTCGGAGAATCGGTCATGTGATCAGGGTCTTTGCTCCGTCGGTCGTTTCTTCGATGTAACTAAACAGCCAAAGCGTCTCCACCTGGAACCTCCAATAAAAGCTGCCAAACAGGAAGTTCGAACAGCTCGACGACCTGCCGTTACGCCTCCATTAGCCATCAAATATGGCTGCTCTCCCGCTGCACCCTGAACTCTGAGATAGCGCTGCAGCAGGCCAGCCTGCTTCCCATGATGCACTTCTTCCCTCCCTGGGTGTTCGATCGCCTGCTGCGGCTCCTTAGCTTCATCCCGCCTCCCTGAGCCTGCCAGAGATTTCCTCCTGTTAAAAGGGAGTTTTCGCTCCCCGCTGTCACCAGGTGCGGCTCATGAGGGGGTTTGATTGGTGGGTTTCTGTCAAACCCTGCAGGCGGTCAGAGGAGACCTCGAAGGAGGGCACGAAACTTTAACGGATCAGGTTTGCGGGGTTGTTCTGCTCCTCCCCCTGGCGCTCTCGTGCCGTCTCTCTTTGGCTTAAGTCTTCGTCTCTCGTTAACGTCACAAAAATTAAACACGTGTTCCTAATGAAGCTCTGAACCATGCGACGTCTCTGAAGTCGCACACGGAGCTCGCCCTCTCGCCGTCTGCCTCTACAGTTTGATGAACAGCACGGCGGTCACCATGGCAAAGCCCACCAGCAGCATGGCCACCTTGGCGATGCGGTTCCTGCCGGCGGCGAGCTCGTGCGGTAGGATCTCCATGAAGGTGATGTAGATGAAGGTTCCCGCCGCCAGCCCCTCCAGCGTGCAGCGGGCCAGCTGGTGCCCCGGCGATGTCTTGGTCTCGGTGAGGCCGACGCCCAGGCCGACGCCCAGCGGCGACATGACGGCGAACAGCAGCAGGCAGCCGACCACCACGGAGCGACGCAGCCGGGCCTGACACAGCTTCACGGTTAGGCTGAAGGAGATGATGCTCTTGTGGATCATCAGGGCGAGGCAGATCTCCAGCACCTCCTGCCCCTCCTCCAGCAGCCCCACCGCCAGCCCCTCGAACACCGAGTGCAGCGACAGCGAGAAGACCAGGATGAAGGCGCGCAGGGCGGACTGAGAACCAAAGTCCACGTGGAAGTGACCGTCCGAGTCCGCTGAGCCCCGGCGGCGGTGATCGTTGGATTGAATGCTGGAGTCCACCAGCAGAGAGCGCCGTTCCTCCGGGGACGGCGACGTCTGGTCCTTGAAGGCCAGGATGATCTGCTCCAGGACCAGGACCAGGAAGAAGCCCATAGCCACGATGAACTCGGGCAGGGGGAACTGCAGCTGAGGGAGGAAGAGGAGGAGGAGAAGAAGAGTCAGCTTGAGATACCTACATCTGGATTTATCTCCAGGGTCCAAAACTAAGACCTAAATGTTCACAGATCTGAATGTCCGAATAAATCATCGAAAAAACGTCAATATTTAATAAAACGTTAAGAGTAGAAACTCCAGAACGTTCTCATCGCCATGGACACGATCAATAACACGTGACATACATGATCAGAGATGCAGCTTCAACCGGATTACATTTAAATCTCCAAATATGATTTTTATATGGCAGATTTATTTATGACATTAAACCATAAGAATTCATTAAAATGTCCAAATTTGTAGAGGTTTTTTAACCCTTTAAGACCGACCATAGAACCAAGTCCGCCAGAGCTTATATTATATTTTTACATGCTGTGGAGCCATTTTTGGGAGCATTTCAAGTTGCTATACATCAATACAACCATTACAGCCTAAATTTTAACAATATGTCTGCATTAGGTGCATAGTAATTACATAAACTGCAAAAAAGTGCAATAAACTACAAAAAAATTGAAAATCGTTTTTGTTTTTTTAACATATATTTCTAGTTAGAGAAATTTAAGAGGCTCATCCCTCAAAACTGTAAATACAAAAAAGTTGCACAAACTAGTTTCCCACCACAGGAAATTAATTTTGAGTGTCTTCATAGTTTTATTTTTGAAATACACCAATATTTATACACTGCAGGAAAAACGAAAATAAATATTATAGTGCAAATTTGCAAAATAACAGCATATGCATCAAAATAAACTATTCCCAGCAGTGCAATATGAGTCCTCAGCATCCCAGAAACGACACAGAAAGTCATAAACTCAAACATAACTTTTTAAAACACAAGTATAGGTTCATAAGGCCCCGATCGTAAAAAACTACATTTCCGCAAAATGACGTCACTTCCGGTTTCGGGCAGGTCATGCGGTCATGTGATAGTTCGCGCTGATGGACGTAGGAAGTGTTACAAACAGCTGATCGGATCGGCGAAGCGTGTTTCTGGAATATTATGTTTTTGTTGCTGCAAGTGATTTTTATGCAGTTTTTGCAAAGCTACATGTGGAAGGAAACTGTGACCGAGGACAAGCTGACGGCATCAGATGCAAGTACAACTCCTCTGGTTTCATATGCAAAACAAATTATTGCGCTAGCTTACGTGGTTGCAGAGCTACGGGATTTAAAAATAGTTACGCTCCGATCGGCTGTAAAGGGTTAAATCCTCCAAGTTTAAATAAATACATAAAAATAAAACTACAAATATGTCCCAAAAATGTGAATATTTTAAAAACAAAAAACCAACATCGTCAATAAAATGTCAAAAAAACTCAAATTTGTTACGTTTGTCCTCAAAATTAAAAGCATCTGTCGGACTTTATTAGCTCCAAACATTCAGAAAACAAATGTTAATGTTGAATAATTAAGACGGCAGAGGAGTGACGGACGGCTCAGCGTCTGTGTCTCTTCCTCTCTGAGTTTGAACATTTTCACTTCCCTCTCGCTCAGTTTCCTGTGAGCGCTGTGGCGAACTCTGAGGACAGGAAATAAACCAGCTGCTGCTTCAAAATAAAAGCATTTCAACGCTGACAAACTGAATTTCCAGCAACGAGCTCTACGGAGGCCCGACATGACCAAATCTATAAATAAACTTCATTCAACAATTGTGAGAAATAATATTAAATATTTATTATTTATTTAAAAGTACTTATTTTTGTGCTTATTGCAGATTTCCTTTTTTTCCAGAGGGTTTTCCTGCAGACGTGCTAATGGATGTTTGTGGTGCGACACGTGTGCAGTAAACTGTTTGTGGTGGGGAAACAAAGACACTCGCCAACATCTGCGTGGCCGCTGACTGCAGGCTTGGTGCAGCCGGCCTGAACAGCTGGAGTGTCGGAGGTTGTGCTTTACAAACACCAACATTGTCTGTTCGAGTGCAACGAGTCAAACAGTCACTTCCTGCCACAGACAGGCCTCGCTCTAACATCAGCTCATTGTTGCAGCATTGAAGCTTTTACTCAGAGTTATCGATCCTGTCACGAGTTAGCTAACAACCAACCACATGACGTCACAGTCGTGCGGACATAAGATGGCGCTAAACAGGATTTTGAAACTTTGACTTTAAGCAGTTTTTTATTAAATCCAGAGTTACATCACTGTCTGAGAGCAGGATCGGTGGGCTCAGCCAGCTCAGACGTTAAAGCATCTCTGAGCGTGACGGTGAGGCTTTACCTGCGGTTTCTCTTCAGGCCTCTTTAACGTGTGCTCAGGTGAGCGTGTGCGCTCTCCTACCTTAATCCCGGCGCTGCTGAAGGCCTCGTTGATGCTCTGCAGGTAGTCGGGCAGCAGGTCCAGCAGGCAGGTGGCGAAGAACACGCCTCCAGCAAAACAGCTGATCAAGCTCAGCAGCAGGCGCCGTAAATCTGCAACACGGACAGCACAGGTCAATTACACGGATCAATCGCACGGATCAATCGCACGGGTCAATCGCACGGATCAATCGCACGAATCAATCGCACGGGTCAATCGCACGGATCAATCGCACGGGTCAATCGCACGGGTCAATCGCACGGATCAATCGCACGAATCAATCGCACGGGTCAATCGCACGGGTCAATCGCACGGATCAATCGCACGGATCAATCGCACGGATCAATCGCACGGGTCAATCACGGGTCAATCGCACGAATCAATCGCACGGATCAATCACACGGATCAAGCACGGGTCAATCGCACGGATCAATCGCACGGGTCAATCAC